TTAGTGAATCCAATAATGTACTCACGGATATAAATTGTGGTGTCTGATACTCTTTACATAGTTTTCATCAGCCTCATCTTGGCAAAGGGGTCACAATACTTTAAATTTCCATGTCCCCTCATCCACCTATAATACATCATTGTGTGGTTATAGGCAAAACATTGTCACAAAACATGTGTCATTCTTTTTCTGAAGTCATTTTTTAAAGTGACATCCAATTGTCCCTACATTATTTGTTCCCATAATTTTGATATCTGAATGGCATTTAAGAGGACCATAATAATTGTTTCTAATGAACTGAAATAAAAAGGAGAGGAAGGCTGCCTTGGTATTTGAGTCAAATGTTCATTAAAATCAGAGGTGAGGGACCAGAAGCGGCCTCTTGTGAAGGCGGTGAGTCCTCTCATTGGGATGGGGCCCGGCCCCAACTCCAGATCTAATTTCTTCCAATTAATATCATATCCTGTCTCTTAAATGAGATGTACAAAATAACTCACAAACCCTAGATCGCCCCAGAAATGGACACAGCTGAACTCCCCTGATTTGGATTCATGTCAAAAGCTAATTACGTGAGCATAGCAAAGACGTGGCCGAAGTGTGAAGTGTGGTAGTTTGTTTTCTTAAGGTTTTAGAACGCATTCAGCTTATTTTCTCAAGTGTCTCCCACTTAAGTGAAATAATAAATCAGTTTGCCAAAGCACAAATGAACACAAATAAGAGATTCATTTTTACTTCATTAATAAACATCAAGTATGAAGTTACCCTAATAGCAAGCAAGCCAAAATCCTCTGACAGGAAATGGCTCCTGGGAAGATTGTGTAGGCACATCTAAACTCTTCCAGACTGTCATATGATCATTTCATCACTGAAGTCCTTGTTCCTGTCTCTCTTCTTTCATCCATTTGCAGGTCTTATGTAGCTGAGTGGTACAGTTGAAAACACACACTGTGGGACCAGGTTACCTGATTATTAATCCCGAGTCTACCACTAACTAGCTCTATGACCTTTTGTAACTAACTCACTTTCTCTGAGTTTTGATATCTGTGTATAAGAAATGACGACAATAAAGATTGCTACAAGGACCTAACACTGGCATTTATAAACTTCATCTATTAGCTAAATCAATGTTTTGGTCTGAGTTAAGCTTGTATAGGATTATATTGAGTTCATATGAACACATCATTATGAGTCTGTTCTTGGAGCTTCTTACTGAGGTGGGACTGGCCTATGGTTAGATATCATGAAAAATAAGGGTCACAAACCAGCAACTGGAAGTCCATGGTGCCTTGAAAATGTGCTTTCTTGCATAGTATGTTTTTGATGTTTTTTTGGATGGGTGGGTGGGTGGGTGGTTGGTTGGTTTTGGTTTTGGTTGTTGTTGTTCCTTTATTTGTTTGTTTACATTTTGAATTGGAATGTTCTTGGGGATGCATATGTTTTCTATTTCTCAAAAAGCCACCCCTTCTAAAATATTTACTTCTTTAAAAGCATTTTGTTTGTCATGCCTGGTATAAATGAATGATGACATGATAAGCAAGTATTCCTAGGATGAGTAGCAGTTTTCCAGCTCATAGGAGTAAGGAGATGAGCTGGATGAGAAGTGAACTATGGGGTACGTTAGAGCATGCCCCAATGCTCTAACTGCAGTGTGCCAATGAACCCACCTGCCCCTACTTCTATACTAGAAGCTACAGGAAGCAAATGGGAACTAGATGAGTGGAATAAGTACTTGCGTGGAAGCAAAGAAGCACATTATTCAATGTTTTTCAATAAATCCAACTCAGCAAATATTTCCAT